TCCGCCTCCTGGGTTCAGGCAATTCTCCTGCCTCAGCCTCCTAAGTAGCTGGGATTACAGGGACGCGCCACCATGCCCAGCTAACTTTTTGTATTTTTAGTAGAGACGGGGTTTCACCATGTTGACCAGGATGGTCTCGATCTCTTGACCTCGTGATCCACCCGCCTCGGTCTCCCAAAATGCTGGGATTACAGGCGTGAGCCATCGCGCCCCACCTCATAATTGTTATGTTAAATTATTGTGGGCCACAGAGGTAACACATTTCCTTGTGTGTCTTTGACTATGACTGTCCTAAAACTATTTGTCATTCACAGAGAGTGGTTGTATTGCTTTGGTCCTCCTTAGAAGGTGGTTTTATAATCAGCTATAAAACTCTAACAGGGGCGGAATGATCCAAGATGGCCGATCACTAACATCTCGGGATTTCAGCTTTCAGTGGAAATGCAGAGAACTAGAGGACGCCACACTTTCAGACAAATTCTGGTTGCTCACGGAGCAGAAGATCCCCAGTGGAGGAGTCACACGGGTCACCAGCGCGACTCTTGTGACCCGCGCAGCGGTTTCACCAGCATCTCGGCGAGGCGCGGCAGCTCTTCGAGCAGAGTACACAGGACTGGCTCCCCTTCTGACTGAGGTTTGGAGAACCCACACGGGTCCCCAGCACGACTCCTGGGGCTGACGCAGCGGCTGTGACAGCACCTCGGCGTGGCAGCTCTCGGCGCAGAATAAACGAGACTGGTTCCCCTTCTGACCGAGGTGTGGAGCCCCAGGAAGGCAGAGTCACTTATTACGGACACAAGAAGGAAGCAAGACAGGAGAATTCTCGGCAGAAAAGCACCATCAGTCTCAACGCCGCTGTTCTGGCCCTGGGAACTAACAACTTCGATGTCCACTCAAGAGACATAATCTGAAAGTTGGTAATTTCAAAGATGACAGGAGGATAAATTTACAATGACGGGAAGAAACCAGCGTAAAAAGGCTGAGAATACTCAAAATCAGAACGCCTCTCCCTCTAAAGATGATCACAGTTCCACATCAGCAATGGAACAAGGCTTGATGGAGAATGAGCGCATCCCAATAACAGAATCACGCCTCAGGGAATGGATAATAAGATACTTCTGTGAGTTAAAAGAACATGTTGTAGCCCAACATGAAGAAACTAAGTACTTTGAAAAAAGGTTTGATGAAATCCTATTGAGAATGGACAATTTAGAGAGGAATATAAGTGAATTAATTGAACTGAAGAATACAATACAGGAACTCCGAGAAGTATGCACAGGTTTAAACACTCAAATTGTTCAAGCAGAAGAAGGGATATCAGAGGTCAAAGTCCAACTTAATGAAATAAAACAAGAAGACAAGATTAGAAAAAAAAGGATAAAAAGGAATGAGCAAAGTCTCCAAGAAATGTGGGACTATGTGAAAAGACCAAATTTACGTTTGATAGGTGTACCTGAATGCGATGGAGTGAATGAATCCAAGCTGGAAAATACCCTTCAGGATATTATTCAGGAAAATTTTCCTAAACTAGCAAAGCATCAATATTCAATCCCAGGTAATACAGAGAACACCACAAAGATATTCCTCAAGAAGAGCAACCCCAAGGCACATAATCGTTAGATTCACCAGGGTTGAAACCAAGGAGAAAATACTAAGGGCAGCCAGAGACAGAGGTCAGGTTACCCACAAAGGCAAGCCTATCAGACTTACAGCAGATCTCTCAGCGGAAACTCTACAAGCCAGAAGAGGGTGGGGGCCAATATTCAACATCCTCAAAGAACAGAACCTTCAGCCCAGAATTTCATATCCAGCCAAACTAAGCTTCACAACTGAAGGAAAAATAAAATCTTTTATGAACAAGCAAGTACTCAGAGATTTTATTACCACCAGGCCTGCTTTACAAGAGCTTCTGAAAGAAGCATTACACACGGAAAGAAACAACCAGTATTAGACTTTCTAAAAATATACCAAAAAGTAAAGAGCACCAACATAAAGAAGAATTTACATCAACGAATGGATAAAACAGCCAGTTAATATCAGATGGCAGTAACCCTAAATTTAAACCGACTAAATCCCCCAATCAAAAGGCACAGCCAAAACCCAGTGGCATGGTACATCCAGACCTGTTTCACATGCAAGAATACACAGTCTCAAAACAAAGGGATGGAGAAAGATTTACCAACCAAATGGAGAACAAACAAACAAACAAACATAAATAAATAAATAAAAAGCAGGAATTGCAATTCTCATATCTGATAAAATAGATTTTAAAGCAACAAAGAGATAGTGGTAAAAGGATCAATGCAACAACAAGAGCTAATGATCCTAACACCCAGATACATAGAGACTTAGATTCAATGAGACAGAAAATTAATAAGGATATCAAGGACTCGAACTCAGATCCGGAACAAGTAAACTTAATGAATATTTATAGAGCTCTCCACTTCAAATACACAAAATATACATTCTTGTCAATACCACATCACACCTAATCATAGGTTTAAATGAAACATTGATTGGCCATTATTAATACCCATTTTTTTTTTCAGAATAAAGCAGTATTTCCGTTCACCCTCCCTCTTTCTCTTCCTCTTTCTTCCTCTCTTTTACTCATTTTTTTCTTTTTCTTTCCTTCTCTCAAAAAAAAAAAAAAAAAAAATCAACTTGTAGACATCTAGATCCACGTCGGCAATGTCTCTCACTGCCTGATTTCCTTTGTTCCCTTCTCTCCCTCTCTCCCTCCCTTCCTCCCTCCCTTCCTCCTTTCCTCCCTTCCAAAAAAAAAAAAGAAAGAAAAGAAAAAGAAAAAATGGTTAAAAAAAAAACCCCACAAAACTCTAACAGGTGCTCTTGAATCAACGTTTCTGATAACTTTGGAGATTGTAAGAGAAAAAAACTTCAGGACTCATGAAGAGCTGAAAAGTTCATGAATATCAGGCAGAGCAAGGATTAACTGCATGCACTGAACTAACATAAGGCTGAAGTAATAAACTTTTTTTTTTGAGATGGAGTCTCCCTCTGTCAACAGGCATTTGAAGTGGCATGTCAGCTCACTGCAACCTCTGCCTTCCAGGTTCAAGCGATTCTTTGCCTTGGCCTCCCAAGTATCTGGAACTACAGGTGTGCATAGCCACTGCAGCCAGCTAATTTTATGTATATTTAGTAGACACAGGGTTTCACCATGTTGGCCAGGATTGTCTCAATATATTGAACTCATGAACCACCGGCCTCAGCCTCCCAAAGTGTTGGGATTACAGGCATCAGCCACTGCACCTGGTCCAGAATTGTTTTCTCTTTTAATAAGTAACAGGGCACAACTGGAGAAACTTGTTATTTTACCAAGGCTTTGACTGGCATAGTTTTTTTTTTTTTCTTTTAATCAAATTTGATTTATGGAGCCAATAATAGCCCCTTGGGAAAACTGAAATCTTCTCTACACAGTCCCTGTACTATATTTTCTACTTACCACAGACCAGGATTGTACTTTCTGAAAAATTCAGGAGTTTCAGGTTTATGTTAAAACCTCAACGAGAGAAATTCACCCAACTCAGGTATTTGATAGTACAAATAAATACACGACTGGGCTTGACTTTCAAAGTTTTTTTTTTTTCTTTTCTTTTCCACAGGTGCTACTGTAACCTTTTCTTTTTTTTTAATAAGAAAGTGTTTTGCTCGTTTCTTAAATTGGAGTGCATTGGCACAATCTTAGCTCACCACAACCAGTACCTCCCAGGTTCAAGCGATTCTTTTGCCTCAGCCTTCCAAGTAGCTGGGATTACAGGCATGCACCACTATGCCCAGCTAATTTTTTTGTAGAGACATGAGTTTCTCCATGTTAATAAAGCTACTCTCAAGCTCCCAACTTCAGGCAATCTGCCTGCCTCCATCTACCAAAGGGCTGAGAGTAGAAGTGTGAGCCCAAGAGATTATTAGGTCGGCATTATTTATAATCTTTTCTACAGAAAACTACAGAAATTGAAACAGAAGATGCATAATGAAAATCTAAGTTGAGAGGCTCTTTGGGGTTGTTATACTATTGAGTGATGCATGAGGTAGGTATGTGTTCAGAGTCATATTCTGCATTATGAGAAGAAAACGTTTAATTTAAAAAAAATCAAACTGGTAGTGTATTTTTGTACTAATTGTACTTTTACATAATAAAATACAGTACTTTAAAAATTTTAATTATAAAGTTTTTTTTTTTTTGAGATGGAGTTTTGCTCTAGTTACCCAGGCTGGAGTGCAATGGCACGATCGACTCACCGCAACCTCCGCTTCCTAAGTTCAAGCAATTCTCCTGCCTCAGCCTCCCGAGTTGCTGAAACTAAAGGCGCGAGACAGCATGCCCAGCTTATTTTTTGTATATTTAGTAGACACGGGGTTTCATCTTGCTGACCAGGATGGCCTCGATCTCTTGACCTCATGATCCACCCGCCTCGGCCTCCCAAAGTGCCGGGATTACAGGTGTGAGCCACTGTGCCCGGTTCAATTCAACATTTTTTTTTTTTTTTCTTTAGAGACAGATTCTTGCTCTGTCACCAGGCACCAGATTGGAGTGCAGTGGTGCAATCTTGGCTCACCACAACCTCCACCTTCTGGGTTCAAGCAATTCTCCTGCCTCAGCCTCCTGAGTAGCTAGGATTACAGGTGCATGCCACCACGCCCAGCTCATTTTTGTATTTTTAGTAAAGACAGTTTCACCATGTTGGCCAAAATGGTCTCGATATCCTGACCTTGTGATCCGCCCACCTCAGCCTCCCAAAGTGCTGGGATTATAGGCGTGAGCCACCGCACCCGGCCTTCAACATTTTTAACATGTTAAATACTACTGTGCATTCAGTGAAATGTTATCATACCACCACCTTTAACCTCTTCCACCTTACTAAAGGGTATAGGTAGAAGACGGTAACAATATGCTCTTTAATAACATGATGGATTAACATCTCTAGTGACTTTTCTGTGCCAGTGGCTTTCAGCTGCAAAGAATTTAAAGAACATCATTTCTGTAGGTATAATTTTTATTGTTGTTATTTAATTTTAACATCATTTTGAAAATGTTCTATGAAGTATTTCACTGCTAATGTCATGAGGTTGCATTGTATCTGTAGATTATTTTGTGTAATAGAAATATTTATTAATAATGCAAGTTCATGAATAATTATCTTAGTATGTATTACTTAATTTATATTATGTCCTTTATTGTAAAATGTATTCTTCTGAAAACCAATATGAATCTCACCAATATGATTTCTTTGATGGAAAGAAAAATTTGAAATGTTGTCAAAGCATATGTCACATGTTTCTGCTTTGTAGAGTTTCTTTCCAGTATGAATTATTTCATGTCTTTTAACAACTGAGGACTCATTAAAGGTTTTGCCATATTTTTCACCCTTATAGGGTTTCTCTTCAGTGTGGATTTTCTTATGTTTACTAAGATATGAATACTGGTTAAAGATTTTGCCACATTCTCCACATCTGTATACTTTCTCTCCTGTATGAATTCTCCTATGTCTCCTAAGGTATGAGGATAGGGTAAAGGCTTTGCCACAATTTTCACATTTGTAGGGTTTCTCTACAGTATGAATTCTTTTATGATTAGTAAGGTGTGATAATTGTTTAAAGTCTTTGCCACATTCTTCACATTTGTAGGGTTTCTCTCCAGTATGAATTCTTTTATGATTAGTAAGGTGTGATGATTGTTTAAAGTCTTTGCCACATTCTTCACATTTGTGGGGTTTCTCTCCAGTATGAATTCTCTCATGAATAGTAAGATTTGAGTAGTTGCTAAAGGCTTTATCACATTCTTCACATTTGTAGCGTTTCTCTCCTGTATGAATATTCTCATGTCGAGTAAGGTATGAGGATACGGTAAAGCCTTTCCCACATTCTTCACATTTGTAGGGTTTCTCTCCTGTATGAATTATCCTATGTCTAGTAAGGTATGAGGATCGAGTAAAGCCTTTGCCACATTCTTCACATCTGTAGGGTTTCTCTCCCGTATGAATTCTCCTATGTGCAGTAAGGTGTACGTGTCGGTTAAAAGCTCTGCCACATTCTTGACATCTGTAGGGTTTCTCTCCAGTGTGAATTCTCTTATGTCTAGTAAGGTACAAAGAAAGGGTAAACGTTTTGCCACATTCTTCACATTTGAAGGGTTTCTCTCCTGTATGAAATTTCTTATGATTAGTAAGGTTTAAAAAGTGTTTAAAAGCTTTGCCACATTCTTCACATTTGTAGTATTTCTCTCCTGTATGAATTGTCTTATGTCTAGTAAGGTGTGCGTGTTGGTTAAAAGCTCTGTCACATTCTTCACATTTGTAGGGTTTCTCTCCTGTATGAATTATCCTATGTCTAGTAAGGTGTGAGGATACGGTAAAGACTTTGCCACATTCTTCACATTTGTAGGGTTTCTCTCCAGTATGAATTCTTTTATGATTAGTAAGGTATGAGTACTGGTTAAAAGCTTTTCCACATTCCTGAAATTCATAAGAATTCTCTCTAATATGAATTCTTTTATGTTGACTTAGGTGTAAAAGCATGTAAAATGATTTGCCACATTTTTTACATTTGAAAGGTCTCTTTCCAGTAGGTCTTGTCTTCTGCCTATTTGAATTTAAGAATTTATGAAAGACTTTCACATGTTTATCATATTGAAATATTTTGCTTCCGTCAGTTTTCAAACACTGCTTTAATTCATTATAACCTTCCTTGTACACATTAAACATCTTCCCACTTTTACGGCCTTTTCGTAACTGTAAATCCTTATGTCCACATTTTCCACTTTCTCTCAGAGTTACTTTTTGAAAAGAATCTTTTATTCGCAGCCTTGGCCAAAGGTCTTGGCCAAAATGAGAACATAGAACTGAAATAAATAAAAATAACAAATTACTTAACCTTACTAGGCTCAGATAAATATACATTACAATTCTAAACGGTAACATTATTATTATTATTATTTTTTTTTTTTCAGATGGAGTTTCACTCTTGTTACCCAGGCTGGAGTGCAATGGCACGATCTCACTTCACCGCAACCTCCGCCTCCTGGGTTCAGGCAATTTTCCTGCCTCAGCCTCCTGAGTAGCTGGGATGAGAGGCACACGCCACCACACCCAGCTAATTTACCTGTAACATTATAAAAACTACATAAACAAGATAGTATATAAAAATACAAGAGGCCCTAGTTTTTTTATAGACATTTATATGTAATAAAAACTAACCAAAATACATCTGAGAGAAAATGATAAATGAGCTACGTGTTTCAAGTGCCCCAAGTGAGCACTAAAGCTACATAAAAGGAGGAAATAAAAGGAGAAGGAAGAATCTGTTACATTTACCCAGCACTAGTCTTAATTTTTTTTTCTGTTCGCTGCCCCTCCCCCCACTGTCCCTTAAATTTTAAGTAAAAAGCAAAAAACTATAGACAAGGCGGGCATGGTGGCTCACACCTGCAATCCAAGTGCTTTGGAGGCCAATGTAGGCAAATCACCTGAGGTCAGGAGTTCAAGTTCAGCCAGACCAACATGGTGAAACCTTGTGTTTATAAAAAAAAAAAAAAAAAAAAAAAGAAAGAAAAGAAAATTTCATACAAAACACACTTTAAGAATATGTCTGAGACTCTCAGAATCTCTGACCTGGACAATTGTTCCAAGTAGGTCAGGAGAAAGCCATATTATAAAGATGCCAGGAGAAATTCATATTATAAAGATTCAAACAGGTTAACTTTTTTAATGTTCAAATTTTAATAAAAGATTACAACATTAAAATAAGGCAATGTTGTTTCAACAAAAATATAAAATTTTCAGAAAGATTAAAAATTGATGTATAATTTTAACAACTGAAAATAAATTTAAATAATACTCAACTGAACTGTGAGCACAGAGAAGTATAGAAAATTAGAAAACTGAAAATAACAAAAATATAGAAAATATTAGAAAACCAAGTCAGGCACAGTGGCTTTGGCCTATAATCCCATCACTTTGGGAGGCCAAGGCGGGCATATCACGAGATCAGGAGATGGAGACTATCTTGGCCAACATGGTGAAACATTGTCTTTAATAAAAATCCACAAATTAGCTTGGTGTGGTGGCAGGGGCCTATAATTTCAGCTGCTTGAGAGGGCAAGGTAAGAGAATCGCTTGAACCAGGGAGGCAGAGATTGCAGTGAGCCAAGATTGCACTACTGCACTCCAGCCTTGTAATAGAGCAAGACTTAATTTAAAAAATGAAAAAAGAAAGAAAAACACAAAAGAGGTAAAAATATAAACAGGAGTAAGAGAAAACCCTTTTAAAAAATGATACAAAGAAGCTCAACAAACTAGGATACAGACTAACATGTTTATATCAAACAGATCTGTAAGCACAATTTTAAAAGTCAGAGAAAAGAGGATCTTGGAAGCTGCAAGGTAAAACTGACGAGTCGGCCGGGTATGGTAGAGCCCATGCATGTAAACCCAGCGTGTCGGAAGAACGAGGCAGGTGGATCACCTGTGGTCAGTAGCTTAAGACCAGCCTAACCAACATGAGAAAATTCCATCTCTATTAAAAACACAAACTTAGCCAGGAGTGGTGGTGTATCCCTGTAATCCTGGCAAGGCAGGAGAAATGCTTGAACTCAGGAGGCAGAGGTTGCAGTGAGCCAAAATTCTTCCATTGCACACCAACCTGGGTAACAAGAGCAAAACTCCACTCCACAAAAAATAAAAATAAAAACAATTTAAAAATGTTCCAATACATGGAAATAAAACAACACGCTCATCAGCATGCTCCTGTCCAAAGATGGAAATAATATTTTTTAAATGCTCATAATGCTCAATGTACTGTACAGGTTTAATGAAATGTTTTTGAAATTTTTTTTCCATTTTTGAGGAAATAGAAATAGCAACCTCAAAAATATGTGGAATCTTAAGAGACAATGAAGTACACAACAGTCTTCCAAAGAAGAAACAATGATAAAGGCATTACAGTTTCAGATTTGCAAACACACTACAGGCCAGGCACAGTGTGCATACCTGTAATCCCAGCACTTTGGGTGGCTTAGGTGGGTGGATCACCTGAGGTTGGGAGTTCAAGAACAGCCTGGCCAACACGCTAAAATTTTGACTCTACTAAAAATTCAAAAAAATAAGTTGAGCATAGTGATGGGCACTTGTAATCAAAGCCATTTGGGAGACTGAGGCATGAAAATTGCTTGAACCCAAAAGACAGAGGTTGCAGTAAGCCAGGATGACACAACTGCACTGCAGCCTGGATGATGGGATGAGACTAACTCTTAGAGAAAAAAAAGAAAAAGAAAGAAAGAAAGAAAAACTCATTACAAAGCTACAGAATGAAAAGAATATGGGGGTAGAGCACAGTCATTCATGCCTGTAATCCCAACACTTTTGGAGGTGAAGACAGGAGAATCATTTTAAAGTCAGGAGTTTGAAACCAGCCTGGTCAACATGGTGAAACGCCCTATCTCCTAAATAGACAACAATTTGCCAAGCATGCTGGCAGATGCCTATAATCCCAGCTTCTCAATTGGCTAGGGCAGGAAAATCACTTGAGCCCAAAAGGCAGAGGTTGCAGTTAGCAACAATCATGCCATTCATTCCACTCCAGCCTGGGTGACAAGAGTAAAACTCTGTCTAAAAAGGAAAAAAAAAGAAAAAGAAAAAGAAAGACATAAAAAAAACACAATTCAGCATGGCACGGTGGCTCATACCTATAATCCCAGCACTTTGGGAGGCCGAGGCGGGTGGATCACGAGGTCGAAAAATCAAGACCATCTTGGTCAACAAGGTGAAACCCCGTCTCTACTAAAAATACAAAAATTAGCTGGGCATGGTGGCACACGCCTGTAGTCCCAGTTACTCGGGAGGCTAAGGCAGGAGAATTGCTTGAACCCAGGAGGTGGAGGTTGTGGTGAGCCAAGATCATGCCGTATCACTCCAGTCTGGGTCACAACAGCGAGACTCCGTCTCAAAAAAAAAAAAAAGAACAGTCTGAGAAACACTGACTCTGCATATTAAACAGAACGTGGTGCTGGACAGCATAATGAAACCATACATAAATACAAAGCCCTCTATTAAATGTAAATATACAGAAACACATAGAATGTTTTACTATCATAATGGCGGTGCATAAAATCCTTAAAGCACAAAGACTAATCACATCATAAAACAAGATCAACAAGTCTCCAAAATAACCAGTTAGCACCATAAAGACAAAGTCACACACAACAATATTAAAATTTAATGTAAATGGGCTAAGTGCCCCAATTAAAAGACACAGAATGGCAAGCTAAATAGAGTCAAGACTCATTGGTGTGCTTTATTCAAGAGACCCAACACATATGCAAAGACACACATAAGCTCAAAATAAAGAAAAGGGGAAATTTTACAAATAAAATAAAATAAGAAACAAAGCAAGGTTTGCAATCACAGTTTCTGACGAAACAGACTTTAAACCAACAAAAATTAAAAAAAGACAAGAGTACCCGGGCGCGGTGGCTCACGCCTATAATCCCAGCACTTTGGGAGGCCAAGGCAGGTCGATCACGAGGTCAAGAGATCGAGACCATCCTGGTCAACAAACTGAAACCTCATCTCTACTAAAAGTACAAAAATAAGCTGGGCATGGTGCTGCGTGCCTGTAGTCGGAGCTACTCGGGAGGCTGAGGCAGGAGAATCGCTTGAACCTAGAAGGCCGAAGTTGCGGTGAACCGAGATTGTGCCATTGCACTCCAGTTTAGGTAATAAGAGCGAAACTCAATCTCAAATAAAGAAAGAAAACACATTATTAGAGACCTACAAAAAGACTTCGCTCATACAATAATAGTGAGAGATTTTAACATCTTACTGCCAATAATAGATAATTAAGAAATAAAAGTAGCAAGAAAATTCAGGACTCGAACTCAGCTCTGAGACAAGTGGACCTGACTGAAATCTACAGGCCTCTTCAGCCAAAAACAACAAAATACACATTCTTCTCAGTGCCACATAGCACTTATTCTTAAATTGATCACATAATTGGAGGTAAAACACTTCTCAGAAATGCAAAAGGACTGAAATCATAACAATCTCTCACAGCGCAGTGCGATCAAATTAGAACTCACAACTAATGCTACATGTCGTGGCTCAAGCCTGTAATCCTAGCATTTTGGAAGGTGGAGGCAGGTGGATCACGAGGTCAGGAGATCGAGACCATCCTGGCTAACATGGTGAAACCTCATCTCTACTAAAAATACAAAAAATTGGCCAGGCGGGTGACATGTGCCTTTAGCCAGCTACGCAAGAGGCTGAGGCAGTTGAATTGTTTAAACCCAGGGGCAGAGGTTGTACTGAGCCAAGATCTCACCACCGCATGCCAACCTGGATGACAGAGTAAGACACTGTCTAAAAACAAAAAAACAAAACCTCCTTTCCAAGAGTGGCGGCTCACATCTGTATCTCAGCACTTCGGGAGGCCAAAGTGGGCAGGTCACGAGGTCAGGAGCTTGAGGACCAGCCTGGGAAACATGATGAAACCCCGTCTCTACTAAATATACATAAATTAGCCGGGGGTGGTGGTGAATGCCTGTAATCCCTGCTACCTGGGAGGCTGAGGCAAAAGAATCACTTGAAACTGGAAGACAGAGGTTGCAATGAGCCTGGATTGTGCCCCTACAGTCCAGACTACTTGAAAGAGTGAAAATTTGTCTTCAAAAAACAACAAAATAACAAAAAACATTCACAACCACAAAACCACATGGAACTTGAACAACCTGCTCCTGAATGACTTCTGGGTAAACAATGAAATTAAATCAGAAATCATGAAAATCTTTGAAACCAATGAGAAAGATAGAAAAGGTGGGACTTTTCCTTAATTTACTCTATGAGGTCA